CTATGCAGTCATTCACAGATATTATATCAAGAAGAAGTGGCCTACTGTAATGTGAGCAGTCATGAGGTATCAATTGCAACGGGCTGGAAAGATGAGTAAAGTAGCGGAAATAGTCAACAGTGGATAACTATTTATGATTATAAAGGAAGCTGGGGCAAAAAAGTCAGTGGTTAATGAAACTGTAACGGAGAAGAATTAGTCTGCTATTTACTTGCGCCAACGATGAGCAGAACACAAACAGTTTGATTGATTTTTACCTAATATTCCGTTGTCCCCTATCAAGTCGGGCCCTGATTCGAATATTAAGATAGGGACTCCGACTCTTGCCGAAATTGTGAAGTCTATAAGTAACTTGAGATGACAGCACTAGATGGGCTGATATTGAAAGTACGGTGGTTGATGATTATTGGTTATATTAAGTGAAATAGTAGCTCGTGTATGTGAATGAAATATTGTCCCCCCCAATGACCAACTGTTCCAGTCTTTGAAATAGGAAAGAAATCCTCTTGTGATGACAATAGCTGAATAAGTCTGACGAAGAAAGTGTTCAAGATTCTAGATTCTAGAATCATCAGACGCATATGTGTAGCTCAATAACAACGAACTCAAAAAATCCAGATAGCCTTCAGACCTAGTGGTGGGTTTGTCGGGATATTCACTTCTTCCCAGGTTCTAGAACACAGGCATGCATCTGGTGGCCTGGCACTAACTGTATTTCTCAATCTGAAGGCGGCATTTGATTTCACCGACCGAGAGTTCTCTTGGCAATATCTCTGACTGAAAGGGTATCGGATAAGTACATGATTTTGTTAAATATTCTATATTCTAACACCCGTAGGCGTGTTGCGCCTACGGTGAGTTATCTGGCTAGTTGTGTACATTGAATGGTACCTGTCAAGACTTTCTACTTTCTCTATACTCATTCAAATTTATCACAGACGTACAAAATCAGTTACCGTTATGGTGAAAGTTGATATACTGTGATGGAGGTCTAAGAACGAAGTTTCACTACCAACTGGACAGAGGTGTAACTACAGTAAGGTATTTTCCACGGGTGACCAGCGGTACCACCTTGATGCTACCTTTATTATGAGGAAAAATTAGAAAATCTTGCCGTGAGAGTAAGCATTCCTACCTATCTTGCGGAATTCTGATGCCCATAGAATGGATTGATATACAAATTTAAAAAGAAGATTAAAATTCCAAGCTTCTAAAAAGCCCGTGTGTGACTGACCTCAAGTAGATGTTGCCTGGTCTCTGCAGTCACGCCACATTATTACCAAACCCCTTTCTCTTCCACGTATCAAGAAGGAAACACCTTCCATGACATGGGCTGCTTGTCAGGAAGGATGAACAATCCTCATACCTCTGTCAGCACTCAAATTTCCTTGAGATTATAAACAACCTCGCACATTTTCACCTTCGTGTTCTTCCTCGGGGTGTTTGAGTAACTTCTAAATTAATGGATGCTTATGATCGTATTCCTTCACCCTTGAAGTACAGTGAGAAGTGGAATCAAGTCAAATGCAGACTGAGTTCACTCTGTGACCATGACTGGTGGTAGACAGAGAACGTTAGAGAGAGATGGGAAAGGTCGCGACGATAGCTAATAGTAGACAGTTTTAAGCCTGACCAAATAAACGGAGGCAAAAAGATCATTGCTTATCCAAACTGTGATGCAGAAAAATTAGTCTAAGATTCACCAACAAGAAAGTCGACTGAAATGATCGATAGAAGACCTCGAGGAAGAGTTTAACTGGTCTACGGCTGTTCTTCAGTTCCCCACTACCTAGTCTCATTCTCAGTGGGACGTTTAGCTAGCGCCTCCATCTCTTACATAAGTTGAGGAAGCTATTGATAACTTGAAATAAGGAAGCACAACATGCACCGATGGACCAACATCTGAGGTATATAGGGCTGGTGGTGGTTGACAATCATGGGTTAAACTAAAGATTCTAGGTTTCATGACCATCAGACATCTGAGTAAAGCTCAGGAAAAGCAATCCCGGGAAACCATAGCAGGTTTCAGATGTGTCCATGGGTGTTCCGATCAGATATTCACTGTCCACTAGGTTCCTGAATACAAACATCCTTGGTGGCCCACAACACTAGCTGTACTTGCTGACCTGAATATAGGACTTGTATTTGTTTATTGAGAGGCCTCATGGCATTGTCTCGCACCGAAAGAAATGTTTGGTCAGTAAATCACTCTCCACTTGAACATCTGTGAGCATGTTGCCGACTATGGTGAGTTGTCAGGAGAGTTGTGAATGTCGAGTGGTATGCACCAATAATATCCACTCTCTCTATATCCTTATTCAACTTTATCATAGATGTTCCCCTGGAGCTTTCCCTCTAGTCATCTGACTTTACAGGGATTGTTGTTATCATAGGACAGTTTTCAGTAGATCTGGAGTATGGGATTGACATTATTTTGTTAAGCAAAGACTCTGATGAGACACAGTTTTCTGGAAACCGTGAGTTGTAGTCTGAGAAAGTTTTGCATGGGATTCTCGCCACCGAAGATGAATTTCTGCTACAGGAATGGTCTGTGTTTGTGCATTGTCTAACAACAGGAAGGAAAGTGGATGATTACTCTGATTACTTCACGCACCTTGGAAGTCAGGTACAAAAGGCTCACTTAGATTTCGCCAACCTAAACCATGTATAACGCCACCGTAGTATCCGATTGCCTGTGAAGGGTCTAGTGTACTGCGCTACAACTTACTCCGTTCTGCCGTATGGCTGTGAAACGGTCATCGGATGGAGAGGAAATAAGAAGGTTCCAGGTGTTGGACCACTGATAACTTCGTACAATAGGTCGTGTGTCATGATTTCACCGTCAGTAATTTGAAAGTCAAGCGCATAGTCTTAGGTAGAAGAGGAGTCTTCTTTGTTGAGGTTGTGAACATTTGACTCAGGTAGTGGCTGCGACATGTGCTACACATGCCCAATTACCACCTGCTTCGCCGCTCAATGTTAACTGAAGTAGTTTCATTATGGAAAATGATTGGAAGGTAATCAGTGTAACGCATGGCATCGCTGCACGGAGTCACTGGCTGCTGATGTACGCCATGTGGGGGAATTTAGACATCTCGGATGATATTCTTGTAACAACAAACCAGTGGTTAGAGACTGTAGGTGGTATTCTTGAGAATCGATGTCAACGGTACAGACGCATCCATATATTATTTTCATTCCGATGCTCATACCGGGTTTAATTAAATTCACTCAGCCACCTTGTGCACATCCATGCAGTAGGCAATGAGCTACACCCATTGTGTGAGGGCTCATGATGTTACCAGGCTGCTCAACCCTCGGTAAGTGGGGCGGGGTCGAACCAACGACCCAATGGTTGACGGTCATCTCCCTTAAGGCAATAAGCCACAGCTCCACTTTTACCAAATTACAATAATCTCATTTCATTTTGTCTTATCACGAATTCCTTACTTTCTTTCTCATTTCTCTATCTCTTATCTTGTTGACTTCTGCCTTAACTACTGAAATAAGCTATTACGACGTGCACCGTCACATGATAATATCATATCCACGTTGATCCTAACTGACTTCCTTACGCTGCTATTTTGCAGCGTTATACAATTCAGAGTTATATGATTTTATCTGTCTTATTTGTTCTTACCGTCTGGTTTTTTCATCATTAATGTATCAAATATCACTGTAACTAAGTGATTTGCGAATACGTGTATGCTTCATTTTGCAACGATAATCTAAGGGATTTACTTTTAAAGTATTTTATGGTAATGGTGTCTTTTTTTCGTGGATGGATTGTCACTTTTGGAATAGTTTTATTTCGAATTAACTTCTTGAAAAGCTGTTGCACACTTGACATTCTAACTTTCATAGCTTCAATATCTGTAGTAATAGTGAACTGTATACTCAAAGTTCTCTGCACTCAGCATGTGGAACAAGATACGGATTTTCAACACCAACGTCAAGTCAGTGCTCTTGTATGGCTCAGAGACTTGGCGCGTCACGAAAGGCATTTCCAATAAACTACAGACATTCATCAACAACTGCTTACGCTCGCTGCTGAAGATCAGATGGCCAGAAAAAATAAGCAACAAGGAACTCTGGGAACGAACCAACCAAGAACCTATCACGCAACAAATATGCAGGAAGAAGTGGAGATGGATTGGCCATGCACTGAGAAGGCCGACTGAGGACATCACGCGTCAGGCCAGTCGCTCGAGTGGAATCCCCATGGGAAGCGACGAGTTGGACGTCCGAGGGTGACATGGAGGAGGTCATGCGAGGAGGAAATGAGAGGCTGTGGGCTGTCGTGGAACCAGGTTCAAAAGATCTCAGAGAACAGAGGTCACTGGAGGCGTGCTACTGAAGCCCTATGTTCCACTAGGAACCCAAGGGACTAATAATAAAATAATAAAAATACTCAAAGTTCTGTGTTTATTGGCTTTATAGGGCGTTATGCATTCTGTAATAGGTAAGATGCTGTAGCGGAGGATGCTGGATGGCGAATGCGAAATCCACCTTTTACAGGTGGTTGCTATCGTTAGCCTCTGTAAAACAGATGTGACTCTTGAATCTAACATTATGTGGGGTTGTGGTTCATTCTTTTATGCATTTGGTTCCAACTAACCACCACCCAGCACATAAATCTGTGCTCGTTTTCCAACTCAATACATAATTTTCTAGTCCATTGAATTATTCACGTTACTGTCACTCTTATGTGGCGACTCTTTCAAATTACTTTTCAAATGTGCCCTACAGATTTGTTTGAAGTAACTCTGTCAACTATTAAAATGACTGTTTTCGGATGAACAGGTAGTGTTGTTTATACAATATACAGAGAACCTAACTGGTTATTTTCGCAATTGGTAATGCGGTCTTTCAAAAAGCTCTGTTTTAATGAACTTAGTGCCTTTTTACCGTAATGCTTTATTTGAATGAAGATAAAGTTCGCGATGAGTTTAACTACATTTCCATTATAGAGTCAACTTTGTTTTCCACTATTCACTTAGCTACCAACGCGATCTCAAGAGGAAAAACAGGTCTTGAATGAATCTTTACAACTGCTTGAACAACAGTATCAACAATTAGTGGTAAGCTTGAGATTTTGAAGTGTATTTATTCTTTTTAACAAAGTGTTACCCATTGCAAAACTGAGGTGATGAAACTTGGAGCAATTATGTGTTTTCATCAAATGTCTCACTCAGACTCACCTTGTAAACACAATTTGTAGACACTAGGAATACAGATGCATCAAGTGGGTGCATCAATTTTATTAATATTATTATTATTTTTCCCTTGAGTTCCTAGTGGAACATAGGGCTTCAGTAGCACGTCTCCATTGCACTCTCTTCTCCACAGTCTTTTGAACCTGGCACCACGACTGCCCACAAGCTTTCATTTCTTCCTCACATGATCTCCTCCATGTCACCCTCAGCTGGGACAACCAACTCGTCGTTTCCCCTCTGGATTCCACTCGACGAACTGGCCTGGCGCGTGATGTTCCCAATCGGCCTTCTCAGTGTATACCCAATACAATCCATCTCCACTTTCTTCTGCATATTTGTTGGGTGATAGGTTCCTGGTTGGTTCGTTGCCCGACCAGTGTGAGTTTCTTCTTGATATCGAGTGAGTGTAGGTGGCAGCTGTTCATGAATGTCTGTAGTTTGTTGGAAGTGCTTTTCGTAACACGCCAAGTTTCTACACCATCACATAGAAGCACTGACTTGACTGAGTTGGTGTTAAAAATCCGGATCTTGTTCACGCTTTGTGCTGAGTGCAGTGCAGTAGATCTCCACAGTGATTTCGGATTAATGAAAGCCGTCTTGCTGTCTTCCCGATCCTGGTTTTGACATCCTCGTCTGTGTCTGTGCCGCCTGTAGTTGAAACGATGCTACCCTGCCTAGATAGGTGTAGGTGAAAGAGACTACTTCCTTTAGGCTTCTCCCGTTCATGGTGATTGATGCCTCTTGTTTTTGATGCTGTTGTTGGTTGGGTATCTTCATCACCTCTGTCTTCTCTACATCCACTTGAAGTCCCGTTTTCGCTGCCCTGCCTCTTCTATCATCTTGTTAGTTTTCGCCAACAGATCTTCGAGTTTGTGCCACAAGACATTAGGCATAACTCATCATCAGCGAAATCCAAATCTCCTAGGCTCTTTTCATCAGTCCAGCCAGCGTATACCCACTTCTCGCTCATCACGGTTTGCTGCATGATCCAGCCCAGTCTAGTCCAGTCGACCACAATCAGGTAGATGGTCGGTGTGATAGTAGACGGCAGTCTTGTCTTAATCCTGTCTTCACTTTACTGAGCTTTCCATTGTGGATCACTTGGCATGTTGAATGAGGTTGATAAAGATTTGTGGCACTCTGTAGTGTTGAAGTAACTGCCTACCAAATTACTTCTGGGTCGACGCTGTCGAAAGCCTTTTCAAAGTCGATGAAGTTGAGATAGAGAGTTGACTGCCATTCTATACTCTGTTCTATGATGATGCACGGTGTAGCGTTGCGATTTGATCCACACATGATTTCTTCCTCCTGAAGCCAGCCAGCCAGCGAATTCCGGTCATAATTTTGAGTGGAGGGTATCCTTAAGTCTCTCCAGGATGATGTGGCATAATATTTTGCTTGTTTAGGGTGGACAGGGACAGCAGCATGATTCCTCGCGATTTCTTGCAAAGGCTTAGGTCTCCCTTCTTTGGGAGTTTGACAAGGTAACCCTTCTTCCAATCAACCAGCAGGTACCTTTCCTTCCTTCCTCGCAAACCTTCTGCAGTAGTGGTGTGAGCATGTCCTCTGTTGTCTCTGCGTCTGTTTCCAGTGCTTCTGGAAGAATTCCATCTCTCCTGCTCCTTCCTGGAATTTCAACAACTTTATAGTATTCAGGACTTTCGCTTTTGTCGGAGGGCTTGTGTTCACTGGTAGTAGTTCTGCGGTTGCTAGTGGTATTTCTAGACGAGTTCCAGGTGTTGGTGGTGGTCGATTCAAGAGCTTTTTGAAGTGGTCAGCCCATCTTTTCCTTTGTTTCTCCTCTCTATTTGGCAACTAACTTTTCTGCACTATCTTTCATTGACTTCGTCTGCGTTGATCTCTTCTCTCCCAGATAGTAACTTGGTTATTTGATATAATGTTGTCAGGTGTCTCCTACCAGCAGCCTGTTCTGCTTCACTTGCCAATGTGTCGTTAAAGTGTCTTTTATCTTTGTGCCCACTCTTCTTCACTTTTTTGTCCAGGGTAGTGTTTTATACGTTGAACTCAAATCTTCTTTTCGTTGTTCATCCCTGCACTGCACTGGTTCGTCTTCTGCTTCACCATCTTCCTCTCACTCTTCTATCAGCTTCCATGTGTCCGTTGAGATGCATTCCTTTTCTTGTTTCCTCTGCCTTGCTGCTACGGTTATGCAGGTGTCTTTCGACATAGCTTTCAGAGAGTTCCAGTGTTCTTCCACACTCGATCCTTCAGGGATGTTGCTTTGTGTCTCCCATTTTGTTCTGATGGCGGATTTGAAGATGTCCGTCGTAGTGTTGTCTTTCAGTTTCTGTTCTGGGTGTTGAACCTGAACTGTGGTCCATCACCAACTTCTGTGAAGGCTTTCAACTTGATTTAGAAGGTTCCTTGAAGTAGATAATGAGCGGTCTGAACCTACATTCATCTGCTCCCCTTCTTGATCTTGTGTCCAGTTTGATGTGTCTCCACTTTCTTCACATTGAAAAGAAGTCTATTTGATTTTAGTGTAGTGTGTCCATCTGGTGAAATCAAATCCATTTCGCTGCCCTGCAATTATCCTTGTGTTTGTTCATATTGCTTCCAATCACCAAGTCGTTTAATGCGCAAAAGTCTGTAAACAGTTCTCGATTCTCATTCATCACTTCACCGAGTGCTTCTCTACCCATGATGAGTTCTCTTTCTGTGTTATCCGCTCCGAGTTTGGCATTCATGTCGCTCATTAGAATTTTGATGTCGTCTACTAGAGTGGGGTCTTGTCCATTACTGATTGAAGTTGTTTATAGAATTCCTCCTTCTTCTCTTGATCTGCATTATTTGTTGGCATGTAGGATTGAATTATTGTGACTTTCCTTCGTTTTGAGTTGAATCTTGCTGTCATAATCCTGATGCTGGAGGAGACTGTTTCCCACTACATGAGAGAGCCTTCGATGTTCTTGGAGACATCATGATAACCACTCCAGAACTCAGTGTGCTTGTGGTTGTTGTCTGAGTGACAATATCGGAGCAGATTATTGACTCTGCAGTTGACATTTTGGAGAGTCCACTTCCATTGCATCTGCTTTTGAAGATTCCAAGCACTTCCATGCCATACCTCCTCATCTCTTTGCAATCTGTGCAGCATTGGTTGGTTCATACATGGTGCGGACATTCCATGTTCCCACGTTTACTTTCGCTTTCATTGAGAGAATAGAAGACACATCGGCCAACTGGCTTCCAGAAGGCCTTCACCAACCAGCGTCCTTTCGTCTCTTGGATTCCAGTGAGGAATAAGTTTGTTTTCTTATTTATAATTTCTTTGTGCTTTGAAGTTTCTGTAGCAGTTGGATTGGTTTTGGGGGTTAGGGTTGCTAGCCCTATGCCCAACCTTCCCTCTTTATCTGGGCTTAGGACAGGCTAGTAACTAGTGAACCAGTTAACCAGGCGATGTTGGCTGCATGAATTTGTAGCTTAGAGATTAACTGTACGGTTTGCAACTGTCAGATAATGGTCATGTAACAATGTTTCGTGATAGTGTTTTCTTAATTAAGGAGTAAATGAATTAAAACTTAGAAAGTCATTTACCTTTTCTTTGAAAATATCTATTTTAATTCAATTATTGAAATGATTTGCCCCACCTTATTATTGAAAGCTTGATTAGCATGTGTATTGCAGATGGTAGTATTGGTCATCGAACTATATTCACTCATTAGAGTTGTACTATGGAATGCATTGTTAGCTGATGAGATTCTAGGCTGTCTTTGACTGAGGTCGTTGGAATATGTGTTACTCATGTCTAGTTATCGTTCGCTCTTATGTGCTACGTTTACCCAAGAAAGTTTAGGTTGGAAAAGTTGGAAGGTAACCACAGTAAAAAGTAGCATTAGTCCATAATGTCTCTCACCGTTGGAAGGTATAAACCCTCAGGTTGCTTTTAGCGTAACAAATAAAATTAATGGTAAGAGATTGTAGCTTTTATCAACCGGAATAGGTCTTAGTTACACAGATGCATTAATAGCCTATTTTCATCTTAACCGTTATGTCACGTGGGTGTTTAAGAAATAATGGTAGTGGAGGATTACAATGCACACCAGCTTATACCCTCTGTATAAGAGGTGACTAACTTAGCTTAGCAGGGTAGCGCAAAACAATTCAGTTTCGGTGTGTTTACGGGATGCATTTCACTATGAAACAGTATTATTTATTATAAATAATACTGTTGTACTATGCTCTTTTGAGTCTAGCAGATTAAGGTGGAATGAAGAAAATTTTTAACTCTTATACTTTGGGGTTTAAAAGAATGGATTGTAGATTAACGAAAGAAATTTTTAAAACTGGTTACAAATGTTCTGTAGTGTGTCGATTAGTCCCTCTTGCTGGTAACCATAGTTCAGATGTTTTGCTTATGACCACTTATTCTACCTTCTGAACTTTCTATATAGTTTGATCAAAGAGGAGTGAAATAGGCTGATGGTAAAACACAGTCATAAAATTCAGCAATAAAATCATTATCTGGTAGTCTTAGTTGTGATAAAAAAAAGCTAGTTTATTGAAATTACTAATAAATAAGTAATGGGGGTTGAAAACTGTAAATGAAGCTTTTTAGCATCATTGGTAATATTATAATTTGGTTGGTTGTGGCCAGCAGAAGAATCCAGGGAACGCGTTTCGTCTTATCTCGGACTCGTCACTTGATGTACTTGCATCCCAGTGAGTGGTGTTGTTCTCACTGCGACTCAAACCTCGTACCCATCACTTCAAACGCCAAGGCGTTATCCACTATGTCGTGGAGGAACGATAGCCACTTCTTTTACCACGGCTAATAGTTATTAATATTTATTGACATACTTGTTATTCCCATTGCTAATGTTATTGACATAAGCATTGTGCTTTTCTGTAGATTTTAACCTGTTTATCGATTTAACCTTCAGTTTATTATATCCTTTTTCTAGTTTTATTTATAATTTATTTCTACAGTTGATTTTCTGTCGTTATTCTATTCCAAAGTGTTGTGGTTCGAGTCCGTTCACTACTGTGATGTGTCCTACATTGCTATAGCCTCCTAACTAGTTAACTGGATGTCTTGTAATGTGACAGCATGGGTCTAGCTAAAACTTTTTTACAAATTATTGTATTGGTATTTCAATGAAATGACTTTTGTCATTGTCTTTTTCACATTGATAGTTGCCATGATCCACTTTTTACTTTTTTTTGAAATGCAACCTCTACTCAATAGGATGCATCATCTAAGCGTCGAAGTATGGCTCAATCATTATTGGAATTCGTTGAACGTGCTAGTAATGAATTAATTTGGCTCCGTGAGCGTGAATCATGTGAAGTGACACGAAAGTGGACTGAGATTTATTATGATGGATTAGATCGTGTTCGAATTCACTTCCAAGTGAGAATATGTTTTTACCGTTGACTTTTTCTAAAATTTCCATGTATATCACAACAGTCAAACAAATTTATGCTGGGAGATGTGCATCTATCTAGCCTACGTGGTAGTGGTATGACTTGTTGGCTTAGGTACTCCTAGCTGGTAATATTATAGGCTCTTATACATTAAATGTAGGTCCTAACATTACATGCAAACTTGCTTAGAGTCGCTGAATCTCATAAGTGGGACGAAAGTTTATTAGGAATTGTACTATGTTGCGTTACTAGACCAAATAGCTAGCAATTGCACTGTATTAAGTTGTGTTTAAGCGGATGTGAGCACTTAGCGAGTAGGCATGCTACATTTCTTCAACTAAAGCATCTACGCAGATCTGAAGCATGTAATCGATAACCTGTCTGATTCATTTTATTAGTACGTCAACTGTAAAACTTTGTTTGGTGCTGTGTATGCACTTTTCTTTGAGTGTTACGGAAGAAATCTAAGCTTACGGCTTTCTACTGACTTGTTCCATCTGTCTGAAATGACAACATATGTCCATGCGTACAGAATTTTCCATTCATTACCATATATTAACATGTATTATAGCTTTTTAATGTTCATTTAGTTTAAACTGAGTTTTTACTTTTGAAGTTAAATTTTCTTTACTTCATCCGTGATTCAATATTGGCTTTTATCCTAGTGACCCCATCTTATATGTTGCTTCATTCCCTATTTGATATCACTATCAGTTTGCAACTGAGTGATTGATTTGCTCTCAAATGATATTTATCGAATGATTTGATGCAGAAATATAAAATAATGATGAAGCTGAATAATTGTTACCAACATTAGTTTCAAAATATGCATTCAATGAAAATGTTTTCATTGTTATTCCTGAGTACTACCGAATGATGTATGAAAATTATCAGTTACATATCATTTAGACTGCATACTTTTTAACCTTATAAGATAAGTATCAGTTAGTAAACTTTCAGCAAAAGTGAGTCACAAAGAAGCTTAGAAAATGCTGTATTCCGTACACTCAAACGAAAGTAGAGGGCAATTTTAAAAGCAATTACTACCATTAGGAAAGTATTATTATTACACTGCACGTTTCTAGAAGTCTGAAATAACTAGAAAACATACCGTTTATGTGATGCCTTTCAATTTATGTATTTTGAGACAAACTTGCCATTACTTATGACCTGACAATGAACTACTATCAATAAAGTCTTCTTATTTCACTGTATGTATAAGAGTAGAAAATTAACTCTGTTCTGTTTGATTGATGACCATCTTGAAACTTTTCGTTGAATTAATAAAAAAAAGACTAATCAGTTAACCAATCTTTACTGAAGAGAGAAAAAAACAATTACTTGTAAACAAAAGTTTTACATTAGAAAGACCTACCAACCGTTCTAGTCAACCCATCTGGTAATCACTAGTCGCGCATCATATTTCAATTTTGTTGGATATTGTCACTAGTTGTCTCTGTTTTTCTAAAAAGCCGCATATAATATGCTCGGATAGTTTGGACAAGCTTTACACTCATTCATGAAATAATACCATGATTTATTGGCCTTGAAGGATAAGAATATTGAAATAACCCTTACGGTCTTTCACAATGTAACGGAAATAAATACTTTTCAAGTTACTCAATAAATAAGTATGTGTAACATAAGAATGCACCAACCAGCACGTTTGTATATTGGACTGTATGTTATCCACAACTTGTATGTGACGACAGTTTTATCGCATGACTGTTGAAGCCACTGCATGTGGGGCTAGGTCCGAACCCACCTGTTAGCTCATCAGGTTCAATTCCTTCCCATTTCCCCACTCACATATTTCTATGCTAGGCAGTTATTTACACCTGGTTAGACTATTACCTAATGATTATGTTTGAAATGTGTAGTGTGCTGAACGTCATAGTTTCACTGATTCTTAATACTGTATAGTGAATCGAATTCACCTATGATCAATATCTTTCTGGTGAAGTAAATTAAATGCCTAGGTCAGGGTTAACTGAGCTAGAGCACAAAATAGGTTGTGAATGCTTATTTCCAAGAGTACAATTTTTTTCTTAAAACCACTTTACCTCTTTATGTCTTCGGTATCACTATTCGTAGTTGAGCTAATTTTAAGTCTTAAGCAGGACTATGGTTATTGATCTTGTGTTACACTTTAGTGCACTTAGTAATCAATCTTAGAAATCAGTTAGCAAGAAGTCTTGGAACCTTGTTCTAATGTTCGTTTGTATTCACTAGCTAAATCAACTCAATGTTGGGGGAAATCATATTCACTCATAAATTCAAACTTGTAATAAGTACTGCAACTCAACCCTGATGTGTATATTAGTGTTTTAGTCAGTCACCTTGTTTGCGTCAGACTTGATAATACTAACCAGCTGCCCGAGGTGAAGTAGGTGGAAAGGGGTTCGAATCTTAGACCTTAGACCACATCTCTTTCTCCCATAGTCGGAAAATCTATGGCTGTTCTCATCAGACTATAAACTGACCCGTTGTAGGATTTCATTTTATACTGGTTTTGGTTTTCAATGGAGTTATACTTTTAAAATGTCAAGTTGTAGTGATAAGAAGTATCGTTACAAATATTTTTGTAGAAAACACTCCATTATAGTCTGAATTAATTTGAATGCAGTTAGGATTACATTTCTAGTTGGAACATTTGAATCAACACAAATACCTGAAATTTCAGTCATTATCAATAGTGTCATTTGCATGTTTATACCACAACAGTTTGTTTTCCTCTCTGGGGATTTTTATTTCCATAGTAAATCTTACTTCAATAAAGATTATCCTCCCCATCATTTTATGTCTGAGCCTATTGTGTTTTGTTAACCAACCAGTGAAACAATAAATTCAAGGAATAATCAATTAAAACTTTTCAGTTATATCATAGAAAAAAACAGTCAATCAATGTTATGCCAGAGATTGGTTATTCACCAATATTAATGGTTTCACAAATTTTGTTGTTATTCCGGTCTGTGTGATGGAGATAGTATTGAACTAATTTTTACCAACTAAACGTTGAATTTGTACAAAGTTGACAAACAATAATCTTCAGAACGGTCTTGTTGTTTTATCCCACCCGATTAATAATAATTTTCAACAGAGGGTTAAATATAAAAAGCGCAAAGCCTATTAATGAATGTGTAGCAAAAAGATATTCTTGTTCAGAAGTTATTTCACACAACTGATTATGAAAGTAATCTAAGCAGCATATGAGTGATTCCTTTTCACAGATCATATCAACAGAAAATTACGTCTTCCCTGCTTGTAATTCACTCTTAGATTCATTCATTGCTGATCATCATAATATTCTCTAATATTCTACCAAAAATATGTCAATGAGAGCTGACTCGTCCTATGTATGATGTTTATTCTTAAGGTTTTATCATATAGATTCATGGATTTGATCGAGTCCCACAATTCACTGGTTGCGCTGCCAAATATATAATGGTGAATGCTGCATGCTTTCAGTCTACAGGAAGGTATGAGTTCACACAAATTCGTAAATGTTTTGAACTGATAAGTGCCAATGTCGTCAGAATCTAGATATATGGTTACTTAATGGCTTAGCCTTTCCACTTTGTATAACTTTGTTAACTATACATTTTAGTAAACCCAGAGTCTGTCTTAACAGTGCTTCAACTAATTTAGTTATATTACAACTATATTTCATGGATACCTAACTATCAGCTCTTTAGCAGAAGTCATCGATTTTTCTTTGATAACAAAATTTAGGGCGGGTGTATTTTCCATTAATTGGCTATCACGAAACCAAATATTCGACGCTGAAAGCGTGTACACATCGACTGGCTATATGAGTTTTGAAGATTGACAGTTGTCTCATTAGTTTACTAATTTAAGGAATTATATTGGTTAGCAATTTGCTTTGGTGTATTTTTGACAATTAGTGAATAAATGACGTCGAGAATTTGTAAATATAGCTTAAAAATGCACACAAAGGGCTGCCCTAGATGCTTATGGGAAACAAAGAAATAAATCATGATAACAAACCTGAATATTATGACAAAGTGTGTTCATAAATGTAAACGATGTGAAAAGGCTGTTTTAAAAACTAGTAGGGTGATTATGTACGATTTTGTTAGTTCTAGATTTTAGGAGTCAAATGAGAAGAAGCCGTGTACCTAAGTTTTGTGCTAGTTGGCACTGATAACGTCTTTGCACAGGCGGCTACAACGTTGGTTGGAACAATTTGAAGAACGGTTCAACTTCACATACTGACGCTTCAGCAGCCCTGAAGTAGTCGTAGGTGTCGGTTCTTCAAGTCTCCTGAAAGTTGAGAAGACTTTCTGAAACCTATTATGATGTGAAGCAGCCGCATTTAACGGTTTTTTACCCGGCTGATAGCTACCATCTTGACATCCGACCGATAGCTGCTACCTTGACGTGGTGGTCGGGCTTGCATATCACAATGACCCAACGAGCTATGCTGGTGGAACGCTTGTTCCCTCGAGGTCCTACCATACCAGAAAGGTCTGTTGGGTAGTGGTTAGACGAAAAGCAGTTACCGTTATAGTGTAAATTGCTACACTATGATGGGGGTCTGAGGGCGAAGTCGTACTGCTGCTAGCTGGATGGGGTGTGACAGCAGTAAGGTGTTTCCCTTGGATGACCAGCAGTGCCAAGCTGATGCTGCCTTCTCAGTGGAAGGGGGGGTTAGAAAAGGTCGGCCCCAAAAATAACACACTCCACCACGCCCCACGGTCTGCCGGGCCGGCGGTGTTGGTTCACTTGTCGTTTCCTTTCGATCATCCGGCCCCAAAAATACAAAAATTCAAAATAATCATACTCAAAAGGCTGGGTGTGACAGGCCTCAAGCAGATGTCCGATGGGCTCTGCGGTCACACAAATCTCTTTCAGGTACCTTAAGAAGAAATAGCCTTCCACGGTGTGGGCAGCCGGGAAGTGTCAACCGCCCTCACAACTCTGTCAGCACCCAAGTTTCTTCTGACTGCTATCCTCCTCCTCCAT